ATATATATATATATATATATATATATATATATATATATATATATATATATATATATAGTACAATCTGCAGACATGCATGTTTCGGCGTTCAACACCTCGTCAGTGCAGCTTGGTACACGTCTAGATACGTGAGACACTCGTATTTCGTATATCGTTAACCCATGAACTTGCTCTCACCCAAGCATGTGATATAATTTTGTAATTAAAAGTGATATTTTTAGAGGAGTTTTCATTTGTAAAAATATTCTTAACAAAATTATCGTGTTACCATGACAACTACTTTAAATACTTCATGTTCGGAAAATACAATGGTTTTGTCAGCGAGGCGAAGGGTTTTTGCATGCATGTATTTTCTAGTTAAATCCTATTCATATAAATTTTCAGCATATATCAAATGAGCTTTCCCGCATTCTAATTGCCTAGTTGAATAGTAAATCTGATTCAATACTTGCTAGCAGACTGTAGAGTGTAGTATATGATGCTTTTCAAAAAGAATGATTCGGCCAATTTGATTTTAAAATGGACGAAATATTGTTTCCAACACACGAAAGAAGCACAGCACTTTGTATTTAACTTGAAACGGTGGGATTCCTTTATTATTGTACTAGCTCTGCCAAACATATTCACAGACAATTTAAAACTTATTTAAAACTGCGAAACATTCACAACAAACAGCAAAAACTATACCGACTGTTGGGAAAAACTTTGCGGTGATATTTTTTTAAAACCATTTTGTTTTGTATCCTAAAGATGACCCCAATTTGTATACGATACTTTTTCTTTTTGATGTGTCATGTTTTTATTGTGCTGTATGGTGTCCTGACGCTGTATTGTGTTTTCGAAACTTGTAAATGAAAAGTGTATTAAAACTTTATTTTGAGGCATTCGAGCAATACTTTTATATTTCGCTTTAACAATTTTCTCAGCCATTTCCTGAACAAATTAATGCTAAACAGAAACTTTTTTTTTAAGTCCTGTGAAAAAGTGATTAGCCTACATCATTGTGTTTATATTCTAAGGAGAAATCGAGAAAAACGACTTTGTAATAAAGCAATAAAGTCACACAGGAAGCCATTTCGAAAGCGTGTGCGTACACGAAACATTGCAAACACTAAAACAGTAACCGTGAACCGGTCGAAAACAGTTTTATTTCTGAATTTTAATTAAACTGATATTTGGATAATTTGTTTTATTCATTGAAAATTTGACAACAAAAAACTAATTATTTGCCTCAGGCTCAGTGATTATGGTGAATATTCGCCTCGACTTCGTTTCGGTGAATATTCAGCGGTATATAATCACTTCGCCTTTAGCGAATATTATTGTGAATTGTTAATTATTGATTCGTTTAAGAGTATACTTTGAGATTAGAACTACAGGGTGTCCCAAAACAACCCAAAGGTATTGAAATAACGTATTGTATTCAGTACTCAGCATTCTGCTGAACCGACAAGAGCATATTTTTAAAAGCTTAATTGACATAAGTAAATTTTATCCACAATTAAAGAAACTGTTTGAAAGAATGTTTTAAGAGAGATTTATTTAATACAAAACGAAGTAAAAGTCGTTCTGTACTAAGTTTTCTCCCGAACTGATAATATGATTAATTTGTAATTTTATCATTTTTGCTAAGTTATTCTCTTGTAGAATTTAAGAAGCTGCTTTAAATTCCCAAGAGCAGGAATTGTGCGCTTTACAAAGATATTTTAATTTTTTTATATAATCAGTAATTTAATATATCATATGCACACTGACAATATTTCCCGCATCTTTTCATTCAGCTTAGTGCTGGGGCATTCAAATTCTAACAACACGTTATTTCAATTGTTTTGGGGTTTTTTTTGGACGCCCTGTATATGACCAAAGAACAATAATTCGCTAATTAATAATTCCCGAAGGAATAGATTTTACTAAGCACTTAATGATGGTGGTTTTTTTCACAATTTTCTCTTTTTTTTAGTTGATGAGGAACTTCATATCTTGCGGGAAAAAATTGAGCAAGACTGTGATGAATTACCCATACGCGATTTGTGCACTGAAAGATCTGGAAGATATGACGTGATGGTTTTTAAACTCGATGAAAAGTTTTGTGAGATGGTGTCGAAAATAACTCAGATTAAAAGCAGTCAAATTTTTAACATATTATGGAAAAAACACGGCGAAAAGTTGAAACATGTGACAATGGAAATTATATTCAGCAAAATTTGGTTAAGAATTTGTGACAAACTTAAGTCAATAAATCAGCAATTTCTTGATGGTGAAATGGAACTCAAGAAAGTTGATAAGTACTTAGATGTGTTTAAGACAGACTACGACGCCTTGGAGAAGGAGTTCATGCTGCTTTCCTGCTATTTCAGTGATGCAACACGTTTGGATAAGATAAACAAACTTGGGAATACAATCAGAAAAGTGAAGAGTTACAAGAAACTTTTTGATGCTCGGCAAGCTGCTCATGCGATTCTAGAGTTACAAGAAGTGATGGGTCTCGAAGGCGATTTTTCAGAAATCAAAAGGATTGAAGAGGTTAGACGATATACATTTTTAGACTATAAACAACAGTGCGTAAATAAAACTCGTTCCAAAGTATCTACAACAGACATTACCAAAATGAGAAGAGATAGACCTGGTAACTAGTGTGTTGCTATGACAACGATACCAAATCAAATCTCATTTGATTTTGTTGAATCACTTAGACTTTCTTGTTTTTGCTGCCATGTTTATCCTCGCCCACAAGCCCATACTTGCACTGATTTCGCAGCGGCACTGGTTCAAGCTGTTAAACTGAAGTTGACTGTGATTGGCTATTTTCACTGAGCTGCATAATAACTACCGAGTGTCCCCAAAAAACTTGCGCTGTTTGATTTCATGTGAGGTAAAAACTATAAAAGCTATTACACTCACATACATTTTATTGTATTGAGGAAAGGCTAACCGGTTTGATCTTGATATACAGCCCTAAAAATGGCATGTAATATTCCCGCTACAGGCATAATTGTGTCCCTCAAGTAATGCTAACTCGTGCCCTTGGAGCACGAGTGTACGCCTTAGCCGGCGTCTTGTTTGATTTAAACTGAGCAGATTTGACTGAGCATTCAATGTCGCACGGACTTTCAATTGTTATATATCAAAATTCTAAGGTAGCCCTTTCTGAATTCTATTTGAGAAAACTTATTTGAGTGTAATTGCTTTTATAGTTTTTCCGTTATTAAATCAAACAGCGCGAGTTTTTTTTTTGAACACCCGGTAGAGGACCCGCTCCTAATATCTCTCATCAGTCAGAAAAGTGTCACCAAAAAACAGGGCGGATTTTCACGACGTATGAAGCCATTTGGATGACGATTGGTTTCTAAATTCATGGTAATTACCACTGAGCAAGACTTAATTTTTGAGCCCGCTACAAGTTTTACTCACCCCTGGTTCTTGAAAAAATATTTCGGCTTTTTGCAGTGAATCCTAATTGTTGTTTTGATATTTTCGACCTATTTTTTCGACTGTTGACCATTTGATCAAGGATGTGGAAATTATACATGTTACCCTCGTCCGTGAAATACGACAAGCAACTGTTGAAACCTCGCGAAATGTCGGCAAAAACGATATTTCAAGCCAGAGCTAACAGCCGTAACAGATTAACATGTAAATGTTTTAAAGTTCACATTATTTTAAATATTTCATGGAAAAAAAATGGTAGGAATAAATGGTAGAATGTACTATAATTTTTTTAGAAAATAAGCCACGAATATTTATAAGTATGGTTGTAGATAAACTTTTTTATATTTTATACTGTAACTTCAATTTCCCCCCCCCCCCCTAGTTTTATATTAGAGGGAATGAAGCTCAGCTGGG